TTTTTTTTTTTTTTTAATTGGCCCAGGAGCTCCCCCTGGAGGTCAAAGAAGCAAAATGTGCCCAAGGACCAGAACTTCTCGCCTACTGCTCCTGTGTGGAGGCAGAGGAGGGGCTCTGGCTTTAAAACGGATTGCAGCCCCCTGTCTTTCTTCCTCAGGGTACCAGCGACCTGTTAGGGCCTTCTCTCTCTTCCGTTTCCCCCACCTGTTTTGCAGTCTTAAAACCATTGTACATAATATTCATATAATATATATATATATATGGAGAGAGAGAGTGTATGTTAGTGACTGTATGTAATTTTTATTTATCAGAACTTGGTGGCCTTCATCGTGAGTTCTTTCCATTGTTGTTGTTGTCGCTGAGGGAGCCTGCTAGTGGTTCCCCGTGGCATCTGGCTGAGAGGCTTCCATCCCCGGCCGAACGGTCCCTGGGTAGGTACATGGAGGGATTGATGGCTTCAGAGGAGAGACAGCCCCTTTCCCTCCTCCTCACTGACCCTTGTTCTAAAGGTTACAGGGTTCAAACATACCTGATTATTATGGTCCTTAGTGTTATTGTTGTTTTAGTTTTAGTTTCATTTTAACCAAAGGTTATCAGAGCCAGTTGGCCTTGGACCTCAGCTGCTGAAAAGATTTTCCGTTTCCGGGAGGACCCCTCGGGCCTCCTCTGTCCGGGGCTGGGGGGAGGCCTGGAAGGATGTGGTTTGGGAGGCAGAGTGGAAGCCAGCCCCGGGTTGTTCCTCAAGGTGGTGGGAGGGTGACAGACCTAGCTTTAGTGTTAAGACGTAAGGCAACAGTGTAAGTATTTGGGGGTAACTAAGGTGACCGGGGCAATCGGTGTCCGGTGGTGTTATTTATGCTTCCCATTTTGTGTACATAGGACGTTCGTCTCTGGGACTAGCGTGCTCTAAGTTTGTCCAGGGAGTATGGAAATGGCAGGAGCCAGAGATAGATGCTGGCCAGAAAGTTCCTTCTTGCTGATTTTCCATAGCTGCTCTCCTCTGGGGAGCAAGGATTTGGGGCAGGACGATGGGGGTGGGGGACAGCAAGGGGGTGGCCGACCCGCCTCCTTGGCAGGGGGCCTGGGTCTTGGTCTGGCTACCTTTCTCCCCACCAAGTTCTGGTTTTTTTTGTTTTGTTTTTTTGAGTTCGTTGCCAGTGGGCCCTGCTTGTCCCCTCGCCACGAGCCCACAGCTTGCCAAGAAAGACCCCAACGCTCGCTGGGGCAGCACTAGGTCCGGTCGGGACGAACTGGTCCGTCCTTTGTAAAGCTGTAAATAGTCAAATTTCTATTTCTAAGCCCAGTGTCATATTGACATTGGTATTTTAGGGTTGTTCTCAGATGGGCTCTCCTGTGCTGCCCTCTCTCACTCTCCTATTTTTGGGGGTTTTATAAAAAGAGAGGATCGGGGAGGAGCAGGGAGAGTAGCTTTCCTTTGGGCTCCCTGGTTGTGGAATCCACACGCGCGCACGCACTCACACGCGCGCGCGCGCGCGCACACACACACACACACACACACACACACACACACACACACACTCCTCTGAGACTCCAAACAGGGGATAAACAAAAAAGATCATTGGCAAGTAAACACATTTTGTTTTCTTGTAGCAATATATCTTGAGGTCTCTGAAGGCCCAGTCTGTCACAGACTTGGCTCTGACCTACAGAGAAGCAAACCACTTTGGCTTGGAATGGGGGAGAGGGTGCGGGGTAGGGGGTGATAGAAGGTGTCACTTAAGCTAAATGTAACCTATTTATAAAGCAAGAGATTCTCATCTATTTTTATGAAAGGAAAGGGTTTTTAAATCCAGGGTAGGCAGTTATGGCAGCCCAGCGTTCTTCTGTGAACACGATGCATGTTGCTGTGTTGCTGCTGCTGAATATAACCAGTGCCCCTCGCCCCATCTCCCCGGCCTCACCGCCTACTCACCTGCACCCATGAGCGGCTTCAGCAGAGCCTACATCCCGCTTCACCCCGTTTCCCTGTTCCTGAACCCCTCCCCCAGCTCCTCGGTCCTTGGAAGTCTTTGGGGGGGGCACTTGTGGGCGTGGGTGGGCAGTGGGGAATTCAGAATTGAGGTGGGTGGGGGGAGGCGAAAGGGGGCACCAGGTAGGGGCCCAGCTCTGCCTCGGAGGGTGGGCTCTGAGTAGTTACTCA